CCTCACTGTGTGCTCTGCAAAGCCCTCTCCCTGCAATGCCTCCCGTGCCCTGGCCGAGGGTTCAGGGAGCCCCCCAATGGCCCCCTGTTTCCCCCAGAAGCCAGCCAGGATTCTCATCCATGTGGGGCAGGCACATGGCTGCCTGTGTTTGTATCTGTGTTTATTAAACTAGAGGGAGTTAATGACTAAGAGGTGCCCGAGTTTGATCCTGCTGAAAATAAGACTCGGATCTGTCGGTAAACACAGGGGAGCCTCCAGGCTGTCAATCAACTCCCGGGGTTTCCATCCCAGGTAGGATTCCGCCTGGACCCAATGGCCTCCAAATGTGGGGGCAGCAATGCACCCCTCACGGGGACAAACACCTGGTCATGTGTCCAGCACTCCTAAGGAGCTCTGGGTGGTAAATGCTCTGTGACGAGCCTTCTACAGAAGCCACCATTGGAGGGGTCAGACGGCAGAGAGGTATGCTTCTGTGGGGTGGGGTCCTAGAGGGGTAGTGGGCCACAGGGAGCCTGGGGGCGTTCAGGGGTGGAATGTGGCCTCCCAGACAAGCCAGTTCACCTCCACTCCGTGGGCTGCAGGGTCCCCGTCTGTAAGGCTGGGGGCCCTCTCCAAGCTGAGGCCGGACATGAGGTGTGGGGAGCACAGCGGGGGAAGGGGCTGAGCCCAGATACTGCTGCCTGCTCTGATGCCAGCTTGGGGCCACTGCACTGCCTGGGCCTCAGCGTCCCTATCTTTAAAATTCGGGGATTGAATCAGAGGCCGTAGCAAACAGTGGACCTGGTGACGGCTGGGCCGGGCTGGGCTGAGGGACATTTCCTGCCCGGCTGTGCCTCCTCTGTCCCCACTCCTCCCTCGGAAGCCCAGAAGCCTTTATGTGGGGGCACTGGACACAACAGACAGGGAGGCCCAGCCCTGTCCCTTCCACCAGTCTCTCCCACTGTGGCTGCCGGAGTCCGTCCCGGAACGGCGGAGGAGACATCAGGATGGACCTCATGGGCAGGTAGTCATCGTCCCTGTCAAGACCCCTCTCCCCACCCCGCTCACTGCTCCAGGGGGCTCACCCCTCCCCTCCCACCACCTTTCCTGCCTGGACGCCCACCTCTTCCTCTAGGGTTATCTAAACACTGCCCACCCTCCAGGAGCCAGCCAGACCCCTCCTCTGTGAGCAGACCAGCCCGGAAGAGGAGCTTGTGTCCGGCTCGCAGGGGAAGGGAGCCCGGAAGCTTCGAGACCCAAGGAATCTACTGCTGAGTAGAAGGGAGGAGACCAGGGCTGAAGACCTGAGATCCGGAGACTCCAGGGTCTCCTGCCATAGAACGGCTTGGGAGTCCCAGCCAAGTGGGTGGGGAAGGGCTGCAAGGACCAACCTCCAGGACTCAGTTTCCCCACTGGCTCCTGTGAACCCCGCCATGGCCCAGAGCAGGGAGCAGAGGAGTGATCCTCTCTTCCTCTCCTCTGAAGGTCCCTCAAGCCCTGCTGGACATCCCACTGCCTCAGCCTGGGTTCCAGCTTTCCTCCAAGGTCAAAACCCCAGCTGCCCCAGGACAGCCCCACAGGCGTGAGCCCAGCCACAGCTTGAGCTCCCTCACTGTGTGATCTCGGGTGATGCTGGACCCTTCTGGAAAATGGGGCTGGACTGGCTGATCTCCACGGGAAAAGAGGTGCATTTACTTGTGAGGCCATTGTCTTTCCATCTGGGAATGCCAGCTCCAAGGCAGCCGGGCTCATCAGGGCTTCGTCCCAGGGTCCAGGCACCACAAACAGTCGGCCTCGTTTGCCACCAGCTCCAATGGCCAGGTTTCCCCGGGTGGTCTCTCCACCTCCTGCTGCCCCTCCCCAGGAGGCTGGGAGAGGCAGGACAGAGCCCGTTTTCAACTCGCTGCCCTCGGGAAGGGGACATGGGGGTTAGGGGTGCTGGATTTGAGTGGCTGTAGCTGCCGCCACTCCAATTCCTGTTCCCCGTTGGTGCCACCAACTGGCTCAGGGTGCACCGGGGTGAGGGGAGTCAGGGACCCCCAACAACCAAGGCCTCTCCCACCCTGCTGGAATCCCCTGACTGAACCAACACAACAGGACACAGATGCCAGGCACAGAAGCCCTATACCACCCTCTCCACCCCCTTCCTGGGCAACCTCAGACAATGCCCCACCCCACCCTGGGCCTCAGTCTCCCCATCTGCACAGCGGGTGCTGGAATATATGACACCAACATCCACTGCACTGGCTCCGCCACCAGCCACCCCCACAAAGACCCACCCAAGGCCACTAGACACCCGAGCCTGTGCTGGAAGAAACCCAATCCACGACAAAACAGAAAGGAAGGGGGCGGGGGTGAGAGATGACAAATGTATCCAAGGTCCGAGGCAATGCCACCATCCGCTCCAGGTTCACGCCTGGAAATTTATGGCCTCGTCACCCGGCCCTGGAGATCTATCTCTTGCCTGTCACTCACTTGCATTTTTAATCCTGCCCCCCCAGCCCCTTGTGTATTTACGCACCACCCACCCGGGCATCTCCAGAGCCTGTCTGTTTCCTTCTTGTGGAGATATATGAACATCCCAAGTCCATGAACCTCTGCTCATAAATTTTCCCTGAGGCTATGGCGGCTGAGTCTGGCACGGAGACAGTCCCCTGCCAAAATGGGGACTGGGCTCGTTGAGGGGTAGGGATCCCCGGGTGGGGGTTATGACCCAGGGATCCTTAGAAGGAGGCTTTCCTGAGTGCTTAGAAAATTCTATCAAAATCTGGAGCTGATGCATGTGTGTGTGTTGGAAACAGACAGAGGCAGTCACCCACATGGGACCCATGCAGCCACTCCAATTTTACCCCACTGATCCAAGGCACTGTGGTCATATTTTGGTCCCATTAATTTTTCTCTCCTGGAAAGCAGGTGAAGCCTGCAAGGATACATTTAGGGTGAAAATATTCAAATGCCGGGGTCTAAGAGGGGCAGCTACTCCAGGCTTTGGTCCTGGGCTCTTGTTGGGGCCTCAGACACTCGTTTCTTGGTGGGGGCAGAGAAGCAGCAGTCTCTCCCTGGCCCAGGTATGGGGAGACTGCCTCCAAAGACACTTTGAAAAATCAGTGCTTTCCAGTGGCAGTGCCGGCACGGTGGGGAAGGAACGTCTCCCTCCCTCCCCTCCTCTGATCCTGAGTGCTGGTGCCACCACATCCCTGCACCCCCACCCGGAGCTCGCCTGGCCTCAGGAGTGTGGCTCTGGTTCAGGTGCCCACTGGCTTTTCTGGGAGTTGGGAGCTGGCTGCCCGGCCTGCTGTATCATCCTGAATTATATGAACACAGCAGGCCTGCTGCTGCGGCCACAGAGGAGGGGGCTGCCCAGCCGGCTGGAGGACCTGGGAGGGGCATGGCCCCCAACCTTTCTGCTTGGAGACCCCCAGGTCTTCTGCCCACCAGGGGTGGGAGCCAGAACTCCCTGACCATGGTATGCTCAGGAAAATGAGGGATTCAAGTGCTGGGGTCCTGGTTGGGTGCCAAACACCCTCAAATCCAGGTGAGGGAGGTGACCCCCTCCCACCCACAGTCCTCTGGAGTTTGTCCCCCTGCCTTTGGTGGAGTGGGGCACAAACCTGGGCTGGGGCCTATGAGCCAGTCTTCTCAATGCTTATTCAATTAAAAGGTGGCAGGGGCAGGGACCTAGCGGGCAGGAGGCCAAGGGCCAGCCAGGCAGAGAAGAGCCTGTTTGCTTTTTAAGCAACCTACGCCTGACTTGATGGGGTTTCACCCAGGGCTGGGTGCAGGCTGAAGACCTCTGGAGGCTGGGGGCCTCTCTAGGGGTCAGCCCCTGAGAGAAGCAATGTGGGGGAGATTTGCCATTTATATCTGCTCCTGGCTCTCTGTCCCTCCAGAGCTTTTGTTACCAGGCTCTCCTCACACCCTTAGCCCAACTGAAGAAGTGAGAGGCCGACAGCCAACCCAAGCCAGGGTCCAAAGAGGCCCCACTCTGGGTGTGCAGGAAGGGTGAGTGCTGGCACCCTGGGTAGGTGCGCACCTGGCTCTCGCGGCCTCGACCCTTTCTGCTAAGCTTTGTTTTTTCACAAGGCATTATCATCCTATCCCCATTTCACAGGTGTGGAAATTGAGGCTCTCAGATATCACCTGGCCCAAGGTCACTCAGCTGAGACCTGGAAAAGCCTGATTTTCATCTCAGAGGCTGTCGTTTTTAATGGGGGGGGGGGTGCGTTAACTGCAGGCAGTGCCCCTCGCCCCATCCTCAGCATCAAGCAGGTGACCTGTGGGTTTCAAAGGATGGAAATGGGGGCCCTTGTCTTTAGAGGCAGGTCGGGGCACGGAGGCTTGGCAGCCTCCCCCCACCCCACAGAGGGACGACGACGGAGATGGGTCCAAGGTGGTGCGAAGGGGGAGAGTACCCAGTAAGTTCAGTTCCGAGCGAAGCCCCCAACCCTCGTGCCAGGGGTTAGACTCAGGGGCCTGGACGGAGGAATGTGACCCCTCCCCTTGCTTGGCTAGACGGTCCCCGCGCCAAGCGAGGACGCTCGCAGTGTCGGGGGGAGGGCGGCCCAGCAAGGGGGGCAATGCGAGCCCGGGTAGGGGTCAGCGACTCGGCTAGGAGGCGAGGACAACCCCCAGGTTTCCGGGAAGGAAAGGGCAGGGAGCCGCGTCGGGGGTACAGGGCTGGGTGCAGACGGCGAAGGGGGACGGAGGCGAGAGAGGCGCTGGGGAAGGGACCGCTTGGAGGGACGCAGCAGCGTGCTGGCTGCGGCAGTGACTTCGACCCGGGCCCCCCGGCTCTGCCGGGCAGAGCCGCCATCCTCTCCGCCGCCACCAAGTTCCTCCAACTTTGCCCGCTGCGCTCAGATCATGCGCCGGGCCCGGGGCGCAGCAGGGGCCCGGGGCGCACACCGCGCGCTCGGGGACGCCTCGGGTTCGAAGTGGCGGGGGGTTCGGCGGGGTCCCAGGTCCCCCAGGTTCAGCGCCCGGCCGCGCTCGGACTCGGGCTCGGCGAGCTCCACGCTTACCTGCCCGCCCGGCCTCCGTTCCCGGGCTGCGCCCGCCGCTGCCGCCGTCCTTCAAGCTCTAACTTCGCTCCCGGGATTGAAATTCCTCCCCAGCTTCGCCCATCGATCTGCGCGCGGGGCCCCGCCCCTCGCCGAGCGGCCGGGGGGAATTCAAGCTCGCCCTGCCCCCGCCCGCCCCCCTTCCCTCCCTCCCTCCCTCCTTCCCTCCTTCCCTCCCTCGCTCCCTCTCTCCCTCGCCCGCCTGCGCGCTCCCTTCCACCCCCTCTTCCTCCCGCACGAGTCCGACTCGGTGCCTCTGGCCCTCCCCTTCTCTCCCGGCCGCCCAAGCCCCCTGCTCTCCCCGGCTCCCCGCGCCGCCCTGCTGCTTCCCTCTCCCGGCGACTAGCTGAGACTGGGAGAGGAGGAGAGGTCCTAGAAAGCGCAGGGGGTCGTCCTCGCGGTCGTGTCCCCGGCCCTCCCCGCCCACACCTAAACGGTTGGGAGGGGGAGTGGGGGCGACAGCTGTTGGCTGAACCAGCCACCCGCGACTCCCACCACCACAAGCAAAGCCAAGGCGTTCTCAGGTCCTCCCGTCGGTCCGCCCCTTATCCGAGAGGGCAGGACCCAGGGGGCGGAGAACGCGGGGCGCAGGCCTGGCCCCCTCTGCCCAGCCCTAGCCTCCCTTCCTTCACTCACCCCAACCTCTGGGAGGACTTCGGGGACCCTCGAGCACTCTTCGGCTCAGTCTCACCCTGACAACCTGCATGTGCGGAAGCCCCCGTCCGCAAGTTACAGGAGAGGAAACTGAGTCAAGAGAAGCCCAGAGTCTCGCCCCACACAGCGCGTAGGAGGCAGAGCCCTAGGAGCACCCTGGACCCCCGGCGGGAGCTCTCAGGACTCCACGCTTGGGTCGGGCAGGCCCGGCTGTGTAGTGCTGCCGGCGCCTCCGGGCCCTCTCCAGTCCCCGCGCAGCCCGCGCGCCCCCGCTGGGCCCCCTCCGCGCTTCCTGTCCTCCTCCCGCCTCTGGTTCCCGGCCTCAGTACCCCCGGCACGCTCTCCGCTCGCCGCCAGCAGCTGGGCAATTCAACGAGCATACAAAAGAGTTGACTCAATTCAAAGGCAGCAAATCAAGATAAATCCTATAGTGTGTGGGGACGCGAGAGGGAATGTGAATGAACGCCCACGGCGCCGTTCAGTCCTATACAGACCGGCCTCGCCCGGCTGCAGGGCCTAACACACCTGGCTCCTAGGGTTCTCCAGGAGCTAGAATCGCGGGAGTGGGCTCGGAGCTACCTTGACCCCCAGGCCTCCAGCACTGGCCCGAATTTAGGAATGTGGTGCTTGTGGCCTCTTTTGGCTGGCTGGGTGGGGCTCCCATGATGGGGTGCAGAGCCTTGAAGGGGAGTGCTAGGACAAAAGCCAGTGCGCCCCCACGACTCCATACAAGTACTGGGGGGCAGGGGGCCTGGACACCCATGACAGCCCCAGGGGCCAGGAGGAAGGGAAGGTGGTTTGGAACACCTAAGCTGTGGCCTTTCTCCTGCCCGGACCTGGACCACTGTCAGAGCCAGGCCGCAGGCCAAGAGCCGGTCCTTGTTTACCCAGATAGATACTGCAAGCCTGGGATGTGCCAGGCCTGGGCTGGTGGAAGAGGGGGGCAGTGAGAGGGGCACCCTCTCCTCCCTGTGCGTCTCTGAGGTCTCCCCAGCTGCAGCTCCATTAGGGAGAAGCTGGTCAGCCCCCAGAGCTTCCCTGGTCAGGCTTGGAAGCCCTGGGTGAGCTACCCTCCAGCTTGTGGCCTGGCCAGCCCTGTGCAGACCACGAGGGACGAGGGACGGAAGCCCCAGCCCACCCATTCCATAAACCTCAAGAGAGGTACAGGCTCCCTGTTTCCGGCAGGTTCCCCCAGGCCTGCGCTGACGAAGTGCATCGAAGCTCTGTGAGCAGCCTCCTTGGCGTGCGCAGGTGTCCCCCGTGTGCCCTGCGCTGTGCTGGGCGCCTGCCCGGAGGAGCCGCGCCAGGACCTCCAGCTACTTCCCAGGAGCAGGCATTATGAATTATTAGCCCATTTCCTCGGGGTGCAAACTGAGGCCGGAGGCCTCTTCAGAGCGCCCTTGAGCGGTACTGCCTGACCCCAGAAGTAAGTTCTGTGGCCACTCGGGGTCTGAGATCCGCGGAGGTCAACTGGAGGGGAGATCGCACAACCTGAGGAGCCGGAACCCCAGCAGAGCGCGAAACCTGGAGCTGGGGAGGGGAGGGCAGAGAACTGGAGTCGAGCCTGCACTGCGGGGATCGAGTACTCGCGGCTGCGCCCCTCACCCCGAGCGGAGGCTGCGCCGTCTGGCTGCGACCGAGTCCCCGGAGTCCCGGCCCGGCCGCCCCTCTCCCGTGGCCACGCCGATTGGCGGCCTGCGTGTAAGTCATTAATTCTGTTACGGGGACGCCGGCGCCGCCCCCAGGACATCTGTCAGGGTCCCAACGCCGCGCTCCACGCCCCCTGCCCTTCCCCCAAAACCAGAGCCGGGGAAAGGACGCGACGGCGAAGCTGGGAGGTTGCCGGCGCGCTGGCGCTGGAGGGCGGCGGAGTCCTGGAGTTAACCGGGAGGGGGGCGGGGCCGACGCCGGCCCCGGGGACAAAGATCCCCAAGCTGCCAGCGGGCTGGGCTCTGCAGACCCCGAGGCAGGAAGAAGCACCTCGTATTCCCCGTCCCCCAGATCCTCAAAAACACTCAGGCTCTGACCCGAGTACTGGGGTGGAGTGGGGGAGACCGAACCCTCCTGGGCCCTCGGGGAGCGCGAAGGCGACGCTGAAGGGGGGACGCCGGGACACTTCCTCTTCCCTGCACACGCAGCCCGAGCTGCACCCCCAAACGCTTCAGGAGCTTCGCGGCTCCCCCACCTCCGCGCCCTCCACAGCCTCCGAGGCTGCTCCCGGCGACCTCCCCCCGCCCCCAGATGGGCCGCAGGTGCGAGGAAAGGTGTTGCGCTCGCCGTGGGCTGGGAAGAAGGGCGCCGATGGCAGGAAATCCCCGCTGCTCCCTGGGCAGCCTAGCCCGCGGGACTCGCGCTCAGCCCACGGCGGAGGACTCGGTCAGGAATGGTGCTAGGATGGCACGCGTCCGGCCCAGGGCCCTGACCGTCCATGCCGTGCAGTTTAGGAAGAGAAAAAGTTCGAGGGTGGTGGGGTCGACACCCTGAGAGCTAAGAGGGGATAACGGGAGGAAAGCAGGAGGCGGGGAACGAAGAGCGGCGGAAGCGGGACCTGGAGAGCTGGGGGTCCGCTCTGGGTCCGGGGTCCCGCCCCGCTCGGCAGCCCAGCCCAGCCGCGCCGGCTTCCCGGACCAGGAGACGCCCGGGTCACCAACGCCTATTAATAGCCGCGAGCAGGTCCTTCCCGGGAGCTACGCAGTGGGGGGCAGAGCCCGGCCACCGGCTAGGATGGGGGCGGGGGTCCCGTAACACCCGATCCGGAGGCTCCAGCTGCGCGGGGCGGGGCGCTGCGCCCCCCACGCGGGCTACGCGAAGGCGAGGCACCCACAGCACGCTCCCTCCGTACCTCGGACTCAGAGACCAGGTTTCAGATGAAGAGGGGTTAGTCTGTGGGCCAACTTGGGGCGCCGCGGCTACCCCAGCGCACTCAGAGGCGCGCCCAACTCCCTCCCCCGCTTTCTGCCCAGTCGGCTGTTAGCTCACGGCGCGCTCTGGAAAGTTTCGGGGTCCCCGCGGCGCCTCCTAGCCCTAGGGGTCCGGAGTCCCGGCCCTTCTAGCCTCGGCGTCGGAGAGGGAAGTTTGACCCGCCCGGGCTCGGCGGCCGCTAACTTCGGGTGCTCCCGCCTCCGAACCCGGGTGGGTGGATGGGGACGCCCCGGAGACGCGGGCCCCGAGCGCCGCATCCAGAGCCCCATGGGCGGTGGGACTCGGCCGGGGCTCGGACGCCGAGGTCAGGGCACCGGGGTTGGAGTGGCCCGGTCTGTGAGAGCCGCTAGGGACCCCACGCTGCCTCCGCTGCCCCCCAAGAGAGAATCTTCTTCCCTGCCTCCCCAGCGGCGGGGACCCTCCGGTCCCGCAGCTGCGGCAGAGGGGTCCCCTGGCCCCTGACAGCCCCCTCCCCCGCAGGCCCCTTCTTACCTGGGCCGGGGTGCGGGCCCCGGACTGGAGGCACGGTCACGGGCGAGCAGAGCGCGCGCACCCCGGTCCCCCGAGCGCGGCGGCGGCGGCGGCGGCGGCAGCGGCAGCTTCCCCTCCTTCCTCCTCCTCTTCCTCCTCGGGGCTCGCAGGCTCCAGACAGTCCTCCTCCCCCTCCCGCCCTGCCGGCCCCTCCCGGAGCCCGCCCGGCTGGACTCGGCCTGCGACCCTGAGTCGAGCGGAGCCGGAGGGAGCCAGGCTGCGGCGCTCACTGCGTCAAGCGCTGGGCGAGCGCGGGGCGGCGGCGGGGATCGCGCGCTGCTCGGAGACCGGGGCCGGCCGGGCAGGCGGGGGAGCGGCGGCGCCAGCGACGCCGAGGGGCCGGGCGGCTCCGGCACCGGCTCCGGCGCGGGCGCTGTGGTGGCGGCGGCCGCCGCGGCAGCGCCGAGGTTGTAGCAGCACATTCTTTCTGAGCGTGATGGAAGGTTTCATGTGGGAGAGTGCGCGGGGAGGGCTGCGGGAGGGGGAAGGGGCCGCGGCGGGGGCGGCCGGGGGAGCGGGGGCGGCCGGGGGGCGGGGTCGCTGCCCGCACGTCGGTGGGCATGGGGACGGCCGGGGGGCGGCTCCGGAGGGGACGTAGGAGAGCCGCGGGGGCGGCATGGGAAGCCGAGAGGCTGCCTCGCCCTTCCCCCCGCCCCCGGCCGGCCCCTAACGCCCCCTGCCTCAGCCCCAGGCCACCCAGCGTCTCCCAGGCTTCGGGTTGGAAGGGAAGCCTCCGAGTGTCTGGGGGTCAGGACCCTGGTGGCGATGGGAGGTGGGCACCTGGATGCGGCGGACATGGCTTTGCGAACACGCGCCCAGCAACCGCGTGGAAGTTGACCCCAAGTCAGACCCTTTGTGGGCGCGCGTGTCCGCGGGCGCCAAAGCACAGCC